TCTCTTTCCATTGTTAAATTAGTCCCAATTCACCGAGCACCACGTGGAAAATAAAATTTCATTACCCCAAACGATAATCTAATCAGTTCGATAGAAATTACAACGAAATCCGAGACGGGTCACTCTGTTATCGGCGATTGTCGCGTCAGAACTATTTTTTTTTCGTCCGAAACTGCATGCGGCGACGCAACAACTAGTGAACTTTACCCTTTGCCTCGAGTCTGCATAATTTTTTGTTTCTCCGTCTCTCTCGCGACCCGGCCCACCCTCCGCCCCATGAATCTCCAGGGACGAACAAAGAGCTCGGATAAATACAAATAGCACTTTCGAACAACGGCCAACGAGGTCTCCGCCTATGGCGTTGTCTATGAGCACCCCGTCCTCGTTCTTCCGTCCTTTTCTTTTTTTCCCTTTTTTTTTATTTGCCATTCATTTTCTCGCCGATGCTTCACCGTGCGACCCTTTCACGCGATCCAACGTGGAGACATTTTTTCAGGAGAACGGACTGCGCCGGCAGCGAGCGAGCGTGCATCGCTGATCCCCACGCTATAATTGGCTTTCTCCGGCGTATCGATATCGCATTATGCCTGCTGATTAGCATACTCGCCTCTCTGAAGATCTCTTTCGTCACGCGCATAATCGTCAGGTATGCGCGTAAAGGGTTTGCGCCGACTTTTCGAATCGGGACGGGTGACTTGTCCCTTGTGGAAACAGCGAAGCGTCGAGTAGACCGATTTTTACTTCTTATATTTATTTATTTATTTATTTTGAGTTTATTTTAAGGTTGTTACGTTAATGAAATTATTAGTGCGCATTGAGAGTTGGATTTATAATTAAGTATTACATAATAAGTTATTTACGTATTGTACTATCTTTGTTTTGAGAAATATGATACTGCGTGTATAATAAATAATATGTTATAATATTATATGTAATAAAATAGTGTATTGTAGTATTAGATAAATACTAAGTTACGACTAATTCGGGCGACAAACGTGACTTTTAATTACGAAGCAAAGGTAGTAGAATAGGTAAGTATTAATAATAATATAGTAGGTATACAGATAATTAGTATATAATGCACAGAATAGACAGTTTGTTAATTGTTATGTATTTAGTAAGTTTATTTTATTGAAATTTTAGCTTAATAAGTAGTCTAATAAAATCTAAGAAAAACATAGCACCACTAAATTAGTTTTATAACTATCACAGAAGTCAATTAGGGAAAAAGATTAAGGTTAGAAAATAATTCTAAGATAGAATTGTAAAAGATATCTTTTGATTAGGAATCAGGCAGCTGTTAAAATCTTCTTATATCACTTCGAATGCGGAATTGCAATAAAGTATAAAATCTGACACTTTTTTTTTACATATAGCGTTCCAATGTTAACAGTCCATTGTACGTTGCATTTTATTGTGTTCTCTTATCGCTTTTGTTTTTTCTTCTGTTGCTTTTATTGTATTCCTCCCTTATGCAAATCAGATGCGGGATTACGATGCCAGGGACGGTTGTACATTTACCAGCCAGGCCTGGTTTTGAATAATTCCTCTAGAACTCAATGTCACGGTGTCACCTGGGTGAATGAAATCCGAACAGCCCTAAGAGATGGTGGAACGTTTAAAACTCTATACAGCGTATGATATAAAACAATATTTTCAACTAACCTTTTCTTCATATCACTGTTAGTACAGGTTTTCATATAGCGAATATTTCACGAAATTAATGTATATTTGTGTTCCAATATATTTATGTGACAGAACAAACTAATTATTACACATATAAATCCACTCATTAATACTATATCAAGCTCCCAAAAATCAATGTTACATGTAAATAAATTTTACTTCATGCTACGTCGTTCATTAAATAATTGAAGCTCAATTATGCATACTCGCAGTGAAATTCTCATAAAATTTTACAGAAAATTCTCTTTTTTTTGCGAGCGTAGAAAACCTCTTTAGATATTTTTCAGAAAAAGATAATTCAGTAAAACTTCCAAACCAAAATCTAATAAATAAGCTAGAAGTTTTATACCTTGCTTTATAATTGCCTACATCTTTCATACATACAACAGTAAAAAGGAAGTAAAAAAATTTATTATTTTTCCATACACGTCGACAGTAAAACTACAATTTATCGTTTTGAAGCTATTCCATCCGTTTTTAAAAATGAGAACACCTTCTACTGGAAGCATGGTAAACCGTATCTTTCTAGGTTACCAGGTTCATCACGCACACCTTTCAACATCTTTCGTTAAGTACAGCGAGCAGTGCGCGTAATTTAATGAATATTAATACACGCGTTACTCGAGCGAATTGTGCGCCGTTGTCCCAAGGGTCCTGAAAACTCGCGTTTGCCATAGTTCGCGACGAGCGTCGAGCCTTCCCGACCGGAAGTTAATTTTGTATGAATAAGTGCGGCGGTAGGGCAGGCGGCGCGGCGATGTGTTTGTCAATGAATTTGCGAAAAGTACGGTATATAACGTCGTAAACTTTTCAGCGGGTCGAAGGTCGAGCCCGTGTTTAATTTGAGGTCAATGGTGCTCGAGGGAGACTTAAAACTCGGGCGAACGATGGGTCTGTTGACCCCTAAGATTTTTTACTCGGGGTGGATGAAATCGGACCACCCTGTCATTAGCATACAAAAGTCTGGTTCTCCGTTGGAGAGGCTCGCACCGTGGTTAACGACAGTCATTACGCGAGGTTGGCAGCTCGTAAACTCTTCTTGCGGATCTTTAAATCTCGTCCCTTCTCCTTGCAACCGCATTTCCGCATTCACCTTGTCCATTTAACGTTTATTCCTGCGTTATCGCTCGTTGCCCTTCTGCAACCCCTTAAACGTTCTATTCTGTGATCGCTTAACCCGTTCGCTGCTGGAGGCTCAGAGGAAAATTGATCTCGCAGGCCAGATGTTTCGGTATTCTAATGTAACGTGAATTTTGTTATCACCAGGTTTATTTATTGTACGGTTTGTTCTACTGCTCTTAGAGAAATTCATGTTCTTTCATTCGGATTTTGGAAGTTAGAGGTTCAAAAATAGATAACTGAAGTGTATACTGGTATAATTGGATCAATCTGTACAGTATTATTAATAAGCGAAATTTTTGTGTAAATTTTGAAATATATATATGTGGGGAACAGGTGAAAAGAAAATTCTTTGCACTAGACTTTACCAAATCTCTGAATGAATTTCTAATTTATTTAAAAAGTATTTTATTGTTTTATAATTTAATCTAATAAATAAATTGATTAAAGTATACGTGTCACATTTTCTGTTAGTCCCTGAAACACAATATGAATCGATGTTTCAAATATTTAATTGCTTCCGCTGAATAATTCGTTTATCATGCTGTATTGCATACTCTGAGTAGATTTTTTATTTGCGTTATTACAGAATTAGTACCGTTAGTCTTATGTGTATACTACAAGTACATATACTTTTCAAAAACCAGAAAATTACTCAAAAAAAATCAATAATTAAAAGACATTTTACCAATTACCGTAACACCTTCCGTTACGACTGAATCAAAATGCATTTTCCTTCGACCAATTTCCCCAATTAAACCAACCATTCACATTCAACAATCCACATAACAAAATAATCAAACCTCTTTGCAATTTATATTAAACACTTAAACAATCAATTTACTTCAATCTCCTAAATATTCCTTCATCCAGCAACGCTAAAGAATATTCCATAAACATCGACAATAGCACTACATAATATTCACGTGTCCATATTCCGGGCAAGGATTTCCGTACGTATTTATTGTCAGCCAGAAATTCCATAGTGCAATAAACCGTGCCCACCGCCACACTGGCAAGCCCATCGCGGAGTGCTCTGAATAGCGTGTGTACACGTCCGTCACGTCTTGAGAAAAGTTTTGCCAGGAAACGCCAGGGTTCTCGAAGAAGGAAGACGTCTTTTTTTCCCTAGTCTGTCCGGTTTTTTTTTGTCTTTGCTCGCTTTGAAAGGGTTGTGGAACGAGGAAAGGAAAAGGTGAAGAGGAAGTCGAGGGAGACAGAAACAAGGGAAGTATGAAGCGAGAGAGAACACGAACTAACGATCGCTGCTAAGACGTGTGGGAAACTAGCCTACGGTATGCAAATAGCCGACTGGCGGAATGAAGAACCGTCGAGGGGCGCGCAGGGGTGCAAGGAAAAAAAAGAAGCTAACCTTCAGGTTGGCATTGTGCTCGCTCCTCATAATGGACCAGTGGCACCGATCTTATGTAAATCGGTGCTTTGATCAAAGACGTGCCAGTTTCCTTCTTCCTCTTCAGTTTCTGATCATCTGATGTATTCCATCGATTCGATGCACTGTCTACGGCTCGGACGTTCCGACTTAGCTCCCTCTTGCCTCCGGGACGAGTGTAATTGATCCCTTAATTGCTTCTCCGTTTTATCCAAGATGAAAGTGTTGCAACGCCACATTCGCTGAATTAATATGGCATCTTTGCGTTTGTTCCTTTTGACTGTTCGTGATTATTTTCGCGCCGTTGGTAGTGATTTATTTGGTTAAGTATGCGTCCTTACGTTTGGAAATCGAGTATGTCACTTTTAAGTATCAGAAATTATATCTTTTTGTGAGTCGCATATATTGCAGTTATTGTAAATTCTCATTTTTCAGGATCGAATATTTTCTTGGAATAGTTTGTTGCATAGTATAAAAATATTTTTTAATCTTAATTTTTTAGAGAAGAAATTATCATTTCATGTAAAGAATAATTTGCAAATAATTATTATTAGGTAGTTTGTTCTGATTAGAATCGCTTATCGTATTTTGTGCTTTAACATGTTTATCTGCTTTAATGATTTAACAATAACGAGAAAAGTGTTTCTCTTGTAGTATAATTAATATGTCATTATTTAATACTTTATAAAAATTAATCTTCCTGAAATAACAAATAAAATATTTCACTTCTTTCATTGGACTAACAATGTATTATCTAATAGGACTGTGTTGGATTTAAATTAGAATTCATCATAATTATCCTTCGTCAATTATACGTTTTATTAGTTCACATTTATTCTCATACATAAATAGCGAATGAAGACAGCATTAGTATGCGTAGTTATTACAATAACAATGATTATTATGTTTGCAATAATGCTACGTATACATGTATGTACGCTATACATATTTGTAATTATTATTATAAAAATGATTAGTAGATTTAAAGTAATATTCTGTATATTTTATGTAAAAAAAGGAACGAAATATTTATTATATTTTTATTCGGAATTAGTGTGTTTCCGGTGAAGTATAAGACAGATGAACGTCTACGTCACCAAGACGTTGGCGAAGCTCATCAATTACACCTTCTTGAATCATGTCTACATCTGCCGGTGGACAATAATCATCCTCACTAGATCTGAAACAAGAAAATTTAAATAATTCTCATTTTCTAGTATCACAGCAAGTAATTTCTTCACTGATATTAGAATCTAACATAATTTCTATTGTCGAATGTTAAATTTACATACTTTTTACTCTAATAAAATACTATCTGAATATAATGAGATCACTAAATACAATGGACATAAAGAATTTTCGTAAAAGATTGTATCTATATCTGTCTCTTTTTCAAAGGCAACATGAGTTTTTTACATTAGGGGTCGTTTCTAACATCGATTTCCAATAGTAAAAGAACTATATTCTCAAATATTTTGACATTCTATAAATCTTCCTTTCACAACCTGTTACTTTTACATTCCCTAATTTTCACTCCTTTTTATTCCTTTACTTCAGAATAAAGTCGCATACACAATAGATTTATTGCATACATTATTACGAATGCATATAGTTCATAAATGCATGAAAAGCAGAATCAAGAAATTTAAAAACAGTAACCATTTTTACAATACCAATAAAACAGCTAATGAATTCGAATATAGTTCGTATTTCATTATTAATCGGAACAACTTCATTATTCGCGATACTATGCGAATCCGTAAAATTCTAAATTCGCATAAACATCCGCTATTTATTCGTCGCTGATAACTAGGATTTAAATATTCGAAGGGTCGGTGAGGTTTAATCGTGGTTAATGTAACAAGTTTTACGCTCTACCGAGCCATAAATTGCATTTCCTTCGTAATTCGGTAGTTCGGTCTTTTTTTGCTTTCGTCGAATCGTCCCTCGACAAGCTCGAAGAGAACCACGGTGCCGTCCAGAGGCGACATCCGGCAGCGTTCTCGCGTCTTCTCCGGAAGTGAAGCGTGCCGGGGGTGGAGTGGAACGGATCGCGGAGGATTGGAAGTGGGCCGAACAGGATGAAATCGATTTTTTTCTGGCATAGCCGGAATTCCGAATAACGTTTCCCTAATCTCATCACGAGATGGCGCCAAGTCAACCATTTGCAGCTGGTATTGTTATTTTGTTCACGCAATTTCGTTATTATGCATTTCTTTGAGAGAATTTGGTATTTTAACATCCTTTCATTTTCTTGTGTACCTATTTTCATTCCTTAACCCATTAACCTATGGTTTATTTCATAATCGTCTTTGATTAAACTACTTGAGGATGATTATTGTTAAATGTTTATTCTAAGGGTTGACGATTGGTAATGGGAAAATAATATTTAATTTATATTAAAAACTGAAGTAAATAACGGTTATTGAATTCAGTTTACAATTTTCATCGCGAATTTGATGAGATATAGAGTTAATAAATATTCTGCAAAATTTCCTTACGTTTATGAATTTCATTTTAACTGTTTGATATAATTAAAAATAATAAAGCGAAAGTTTATATAAGTTTAATATTGTTTTACGATAGTGCTAATTGTAACAAAAATTTGAAACCTGGCGGAATACTAAATATAGAAATGAATGTAACAAGGGAAAAGTCAAACATGCACAGTTGCATTATCTTGAAAGTTCTTGTCTTTCTTCAATGCAGGCTGCACGTTTAAATTGTTTAATTAGGTTATTCCATAAGTAATGTCGTTTCTTATTCTATTTGGTAAGATATTTTTGAATTCCACTCCGAAAACGGTATTAAAAGATTCATCGAAAAATAGAATAAACCCATATACGTCGACGATTAAAAAAAACATTAGCATTCATAGAATATTCTCTCATTGTACATTAATACAAACAAACGTTTTCAGTCCACCAGGAAGCTGCAATGAAAGCCAAAATGAAAGAAAAAAAATGTAAACTTCACCAAATCACACCATTGCATACAATTACACAACGGAGCTTAACAGAAATTAATAATATAGATTTCTTGACAAAACGTTAAACGTGTCTATATTACGTTGTAAACGATATTCAGGTGTCCCTTTCAAAGGTCCATAAAAGCGACATTTTGCGAAAGGCGATTTCGTCGTGACGTCATCAGTCCGTCGCAACCCCCATGTGGAATTCATAAATTACAATTTTCCTGGTGTGCCGTGTTTATTACTGGCCGCGGAAATTGAGAAACGGATTACCACGTCTCGCCTTAATCATCCGGCCAACTAGAGCGTGGCACGAAGATAAAGGGGTAATTAGCATCTGTCGCAGGACATCGAAGACAGAGACATCTGACAACGAATGCCGAAAGGTCGGAGTTTGATTTTGTGCACCCCTTAGGAGGCCACCCCTTACCCACATGGAAGGTGGGGCTTGATGGTACCTGACCGTCCATGAACCCACCCTTCGCCCAGCCCAACCATGCCTCCCTTACGATCCTCCCTTTTCCTCTATTTCCAGCCCCCCAGCATCTTCGTCCACGCCATCTGCGACCCCAACGCTGTACTTTCGAAAGAAATAGAGAACACCAAAATTTCATTCCACACGCTTTAACGCCAGAACAACGGAGCATTCAACATGATTCACCCCTTGTCCTATCATTTCTTTCTGAACTGTGATCGATCCAAGTACTTTATTGTAAATAGTTTATTGAAAATAAGAGAAAAGTCCTATGCCTATTCTATGTCAACGTTTGCTGTAAAGTATAATCATTCACAATAGAAGAAGAATATTGAAACGAATTGAATGATATTCATGTTTTCTAAATTCTATTTGAAATCTTCACGAGTGTGATCCGATATTGTGGGGCAATAGGTTAATAAGTAATCCTTATAAAAATTGTAATAATAGATTTTTCTTCGGTTTCTTCATATATTGATTATAACATTCAAGTGAAACTACTAATTTTTCAAGTTATTTCAGAGATTTATTGCTTTTAAGATATCAACAGTTGTGAAATAAGAAAATTGTGACATTCTGACAGATGCTCGAGTTTATGCTTTTTCCCTCTACGCAAGGTGAGAATGTAACAAACGTAATACTTAAACTGTTGAATTTCGTTCTACGTTTACCTAAAATGAATAAAACGTTTTTTAGAAGCAATTTTTGAGTTACATCTTTTTGTATTTAAATAATAAGAATACATAAGTGTTTGTTGTATTTATTGTATACCCACTAAACTTTGAATAAGATTGGCGATCAATTTAAGTAGAAGATAGTACAGATATTTGTATTCTTACCTGGCAACTGTTACGATAGTTGGCGAGCTCGATAGACAAGCTAAAAATGATCTGAACGTGCCGGTAATTAACCGGTCAAGATCAGCGCGAGAAGTCGGGTGATGTGGGAGATCGGTATCGTCTCTAGTTAAACCTGCATTGTGGATAGTAATCCAGTCAATCTCCGACTGCTTATATGCAGCAGTCAACTGGTGATAAAGATTCTCCACCGCTTCATATCTGAAAATAAAAAGTAATTTTTTATCAGTACGAAATAAGAATTATAATAATCATAAATCGATAGACTGTCATTTATTTACGTGACTTGGTTAACCCGATAAACTTTAAAACACTGACCTCATGGTGTTTATAGATTATAAATAATGAAAATCATTCTTGTATTGTATGGTTTGCTTTAAATTAATTTTGTCTGTTCATTTCTATTGTTTCTTCTAATTGGTAATTCAAATGTGCAAAGAGATGATGTAATAACAGTAGCAATATACAGATTTTTGGTTTAGAATACTGTTCTTCTTGAGCTTCGTTAAAGATATTCTTAATTGAATTTGAGATGGCTTTTGGATTATAGATAACAATTCAGAAATTTAAGAATAGTTCAGGATGTAAAATATTACAATTATGATCTGACTCTCATAATTTAATTCTTGTTTAATTCTCACTATCAATTTTTCATTGTACCCGTAGTTTGAAATTTAATGCAGATGATTCTGAGGATATAACTTGATTACAATAGGTCTTCGTAATTCATGTGAGATCCAATGAAGTTATTAATACACGTTTAAGATATATTAATTAAATCCATATTTCTGTGTAGTAAAACTGTAGTGGCCATTCAAAATTAAGTAGATCGATGATTCGCCAAAGGCATTGCGGTTCAGTATTTCGCGAAACGGTTCCAACCATTCTGTAAATAGGTTCATTTGAATCTACCCAAATGGAATTCACGCAATCAGAGCGTCTTTTGGTAATCGAGGGTTTAAGATACGTATTTCCACAAGAGGATAACCATAAGGGAACCAAAATTTGCGCTTGCATTCATACAAACGACAACGGTAATCGATGCTTTTCGCTTAATGAAAGTTAATAAAAAAGTACTTGAATTTCTTTCTTCCTGACTTGTATAATTTTATTTTTCATCATAGTTTTGTAATTCTCACACGCATCGAATAATCATTTACGCGAATACATGTGATTTTCAAATGGTAAACCTAGAAGAGCAAAATAATGTTATCGCGTTGCTTGAGTAATTTCGTTCGCATTAAATGTTTTAATAACTGTTTCACCCTACTTTCCTTATCCACATGACGTTCATTGTTTTCACAATCGAGTCACGAAATCGTAGACTTTCTCACGATCATTTGTTACTAATCGTAAACTAATCAAAGCAATTAATACTGAAAGTATTCTATAAAAAGTAAAATTTCAACTCAAAAAATAGGAAAACATGTTGTCGTCTATTATTCATAAATTACGCTAAATCAACCACGTTAAACTCTTACTTCTCCTCTATTCTCATAAATCCATAACACGCGACCTCAGGCAATTACAAGATTAAGATACACTAAAGACAAGAAGAAAGCAAGGTTACCTATCACAATCAAAATCAACTTGTAATGTACTACATTTATTCCCAACAAATTCTTACTCATCCCACATATGACCATCGTGGCGGTCAACATGTAAATACCTTACAAAGTCAACTTCAAAGCACGAAAAACATACAATAGACTCTTGTAAAACGCAAGTTCCTACAACGCGACAAAGTTATTACGACTATTGTTTTCATATAACGCGATTTTCCATACAACGCACCGAATAATAACGAATTGCACGATTTAAGAATTAAATCTACTTTGGTTGAGCATTGGTCTGTTCTCTTACGGCACGATTTCCTATAAGGCGAATTTCCACAACACGGTGCACGTTAACCGCGTTATGCGTGAGTCTGCTACAATTACAAGGCGAAATAAATCGAATAGAAAAATAACCGCGAATTTAAAATCCCCCGGAAACCGTTGCGAAAGATTCCGCAGGAGTGCTTCACTTTCGAATTCCAGGAACGCGAGCAAGGTTGCCGCGCGAAATTCGTTAAAGTGTCGTAAATAATGAAGGCAAACAAGGTAAGGGAAAAGGAATGGAGAGGGAAAGGCCGGGCAATGGAAAGTTTATAATGCGCGGACGATAACACGCGGCTGCAAAAGTTGAGGCATTTCCTGAAGGCACGCGACGAAAGTTAACACGGCCACGAGACCAGTTCCGGGTGGTCGTAATTTGTACACCGTTTCTCTACCCCCTCCTCTACCATCGTCCCACTACCCCGTCGCCCCTTCCGCTATCTCTTTCTCTCTAACTCCTTTATACCTCGCACGCCTCCACTTTCGCCCTTATCTGATCCCAAGTTTCTCTCGTTTTCTGTAGCTGCAATTCGTCCCGCGCCGAGACTGTACGTTTTTGTTATCAAGGCTACCGAGATTTTAACTGAAGATTGCTGTACGTTGTACGTGTGTGCGTGTATCTGTGTGTAGCAGCGAATCGCGAACAGGGATTGAAAATGTTCCTGAAATAACTGTTAAAATAACTTTGAAATTGTTATATATTGATTGGGACCGATACAGTTATGGAGAACCGAAACGAGTCATAAGTGTTATTGGGTATATCGGTTTTGGTCCTGGTACTTCGGAATTGATATTATATCGGTTTGTTCTACGATTTATTTCTCAACTGTGATGGATATAACTACTTTGTTATTAATAATTTATTGGAAAGGAGAGAAAGATTTTAGGTATATCCTATATCTACGTTTGTTCTGAAGCAGAGACGTTCAACCTTTTAACTTCCCTGTGCAATATTGGAAGAAGACAGGCTGTTACGGGGCGGAGATAAATTAATAGCATGTTTAACTTGTATTTGTAGTATTGTTAATGGGTCTTTTAGTCGCAATCTCATAAAGCTTATGATTTTTTGTTGAATCGCATTCGCAACCGTCTTGTATCGCGGGTTGGACAAGCTTGCTTCAAAGTATAACAATTGATAAGAGAAGAGTAATATTTACTTGTTAAATTCTATTTAAAATCCTCACCACGAGTCTCATACGTTATTGTAAGGCAAGGGGTTAACTAATTAAACTATATTAATAATTTACATTAACGTGGAAGAACAGATTTTCAAAAAATATTCCAACCCGAAGGTGGAAAGAAGGAAAAAAAAGAAGAATGAATTCTGACGAGGAAAGGTATCGAACCTGGAAGTTCAATAAAATTATAAAACTGTGTGTATATGTGGAGTAAGTAAAGCCTAATTCACTGCAACTTTTTTCGTGCCGAATTTCACTTTGAAGGAGTGAAACCACCCCTCGAAAAAAATGCAAATTTTTCTTTCCCGTGGATTATCGTAAGAACAGTAAGAGATAGTGAAAAAAAGTTTCAGCAAAAAACACACTATTTTTTCATGTTTATAAAATCGCGAAATAAAATGTTTAAAAAAGTTATGTTATTTAAAAAATTTGGAAAAAACTGAACATTCCGAAAAATTTTATTTTACAATTTTATAGACGTGAAAGAACAATGTATTTCTCTTTAAAACATTTTTCCACTATCTCTTACGGTTCCCAGGATAATCTATGGGGAAGAAAAATATACATTTTTTCAAGGGGTGGTTTCACTCCTTTAAAGTGAAATTCGGTACGAAAAAAAATTGTAATATATCATGCTTCGTTTACTTTACTTACATAGAAAGTTTGATCATTTTTTAAATTTCTGGGTTCGATACCTTTCCTTACGAGTAGCGAAGTATGAATATTAATAACCGATTATTTGAATCGAGTTCTTAAAATTCGGCCGATGGTACCGTCCGAGTGAATCGAATGTTAAACAATTACGGTACAAGAAGGACGGACAGACGAACATAATTGGCCGGGAGTCTTTCTTGAGAGGACCAGCTGCGTGTCTAGAAGCGATGCGCGCCGGTTCGCTAACGCGCTAACTGTTCATGAGAGAAGACCATCATTGGCTCTCGCCCACTTTTTCCTCGCTGAATATTAATTATTCTCTCCGAGAATACACCTGCCCTCACCCCCGGGCTGGACATACCTATACATGCTCGTGTACGTGTATCACGGCTCATGATTCTCGCCGCAGATTATCCTAACAGTTGTGTAACGAAGTCTGTAACGATCGGTCTCTCGAGGATACGAAACCAGCCGTGTAGTACTTTAAATGACTCGCTACGATTGAACCGCTCGGAAAATCTAATGGAATGCTAACTCGAAATGTTACCTGTGCGCGTATTGAGAACATTTTGATTTGCAATTGTGAAGATTTTCGTCATGTAACGAATAAAGAAAAATATTGACACGTTATTAGTAGGATAATTTTATCTCTTATGTTCAAAAACAGAAAAATGTGCGTAAAAGTGTTATAATAATATAGATTGATCGAACGCAAATGTCGTTTTATCGTTCCTAAGCACAAACCGAGGTAAAAGTCCAATACGATTTGCCTTCGTTGTAAAAGAATAATTAAGTCTTCGCACTCGAGAATATTTTTCTCAACAAACATTCATAATTTTCTAATGAAGTGTTAATGATATATTTTACAACTAGGACAAAGCAATATGGTGCAGAAATTAAGGGACAGAACTACTAATTTTGATGTTTCATGTAATATTAACCCTTTGCACTCGACAAGTGACTCTCTGTCACCACTTGATTTGATGCGGTGAAAATATAAAATTTGACATTTAATATTGAACTTTGCGTAACGCGTCAATATGTGAAATATTGGAATAAAATAGCTTTGTTCTTAAATTCTTGATATATAATAGTTTTAAAGTTGTTAATTTTATAATTTCATTAGTTCAAATCGAATGACGACTGAAATGCGCCTCTCGAGTGCAAAGAGTTCTCATACAAAACATTCAAAATTCTCGTGGCGGTCAACGCGTCAAACGCAACA